GCCGTCCTCAAGGACTTCATCCCTGATAAGGTTGAAGTTTTTCTGGATGACTTTCCTATAAAAGGGCCAGTAAACAAGGATGAGGCAGAGGTTAAACCTGGAGTTAGAAGATTCGTCGAGCAGCACCTAACGGATATTTGTGCGGTACTCGAGCAGCTGGACGATGCGAATCTAACAGTCAGTGGAACAAAGAGCCGATGGGCCGTCTCGACTATTAAGATCTTGGGCTTTATCTGTGACTCGAGGGGACGCCGAGCAGATCCGGCGAAGTTAGACAAACTTCTGAACTGGCCGTCACCATTACATAGTCCAACCGAGTTCCGGCAGTTTTTGGGAGTGGTCGGTTATGCGGAGAAGGCTGAGCCATTGAGACTACTCCTTCGAAAAACTGAGAAATTCTACTGGGATTCCTCGCAGGAACTCGCTATGCAAGAGCTTAAAGATGAATTTAAGGAGGGAGGACGCGTACTGGGCGTGCCGTTCTTTGATGATGAGGCTGGGAGACCCTTCATAGTAGCCACGGATGCTGGACCTTGTTCGGTAGGAGGGTTGCTGTCTCAGAAGGACGCTGAAGGGAAGGAAAGACCATTAAGATTTGAGAGTAGGACACTTAATACGGCAGAGCGAAACTACAGTCAATTCAAGAAGGAAGTATTAGCTGTTCTGCGGTGTCTAGACACGTTCAGACATTATATCTATGGACGACGGTTCATCTTGAGAGTGGATCCCACCGCGGTCGCCTCTGTCCTCCGGAAGGACTTTAGCCTGACAGACCCGACCATTGCATGATGGTTAATACGGATTCGACTATATGATTACACAGTAGAGAGGATATCTGACACTAAAAATGTCGTAGCGGATGTCGGATCCCTCTTGAGGGAGAGCGCCCGATAGTAGCTGGAGCCCTGACAATGGTGGAGCCGAGACGCGCCGAGAGATTTTTGGTTAACCTTTACGAGGGCAAGTACCGAACGATCGGGCTACACCTGACGGGAGAGGAGAGTCAAGATTTAGATATCCGGAGACAAGCAGCCCAATACTGCCTTAGAGCGGGCCACCTTTTCCGAAGGCCAGTAGGGTCGGGGATGCCCTTACGAGTAGTCTGTGATCCTGAAGAGAGATAGACGATAGTAGCAGAGCTTCACGACGGGGTGGTCGGAGGACATAGAGGAGTCAGAGGGACCTACGAAAAGGTACACAGGCTGTACTGGTGGGAAGGACAGTATAAGGACGTCGAGAGATATTGTATGACCTGCGAAGAATGCCAGAAGAGAGCTCTTGTGAAATACAAAAAGCCACTTCATCCATCCTATCCAACCCGACCAGGAGAGAAGGTACACATCGATCTGGTGAAGATGCCGAAAGGGGCAGGCAATATGAACTATGTTGTGAACATACAAGACGACTTCACGGGGTTCGTGGACAGTAGACCTATCAGGAGTAAGACGGCAAGGGAAGTGAAGAACTTCGTCCTAGAGTACCTATCTAGGTATGGTTGTGTCAGCAAGATAGTGATGGACAGAGGAGCGGAATTCCTGGCTGACGAGGTTCAGAATGTATTCAAGAGAGCTGGGGCGAGAGTTTCGATAGCCACTGCCTACCACCCACAGTCGAATTCCCCAGTAGAGAGAGGGCACCAGACCCTGATAGCGTCGCTATCTAAGTGGTGCAAAGGCAAGGATAGTGATTGGCCACGATATTTTCGATACGCAATTTGGGCGGACAACGTCACGGTCCGGGCTAGCACGGGATACCCTTCATACACCTTGTGGTTTGGGCGGCATTGTCCGCTTCCCATAGAGTTTCACGTCGACAGCTGGACAACCGTCGACTGGGCGGAGGAGATGTCCAGAGAGGAACTCATAGCTGCCCGAACAAGACAGATAGCCTACGGTTTGGAAGATAACCTTATGACAATGGCAGATCGTCTGGCAGTGGAAAGAGACAAAGGTAAAGAGAGATGGGATAAGAACGTGAGAATCAAGAAGGAGAGGGTGAGTGTAGGAGATATGGTCCTCTATGATGCAGCGCTGGAAAGAACCTGGACCGGAAAACTCGCCAACAGATGGATGGGACCTTACAGAGTGGTTGAGGCACTCGACTGGGGTGCATATATGATAGCAGAATTAGACGGATCCAAGTGGAAGGACCCAGTGGCGGGTGCTAGGTTAAAGCTGTTTAGGCCCAGGCCCGCACCCATCTTATTGCTGACAAGCCCGCAAGGGAAAGGGAAGGCCAAAATG